CTCTTGTCCTTTGAGGAGTCCCAGCTTCCTGGGCCAATATAGGCCTGAGGGTGACCAGGGACTCAAAGAGGCTCACTTACCATGAGTCCACTGCACACCTCCAGACAAGGGCCTAGGCCTTGGACAACTCACAAGTAAACACAGAAAGCCAGTTGGTTAATTTTAAATCCTGCTCAGAGCCACTTTTGTAGTGGTCTCCAACAAGACATGGTCTCACTAAGTTCCTCAGGCAGGGCTCATCCTTGCGACCCTCCTGCCTCAGCATCGCAGGGTGCTGGGATTACAGCGTGCACCACCATGCCCAGCTGCATGCACCTTTGCAGCCCTTTCTGCTTTCCACACAGCGAGGACTTTCTGTTACCGAGCATGCTGGAGGCTTCCTGTGGGAGGTTGTGGCTCAGGGTACGGACTCAGGAGCTTTGCCAAAGCCTCCCTCCCTTGCTTGACATAGGAACGGCTTCCAGAGTTCCTCAGGCCTCTGTCAACGCTCCTCTGCAGGCACCACTGTGCCACCGGGCTGATCGCACTTCTGGGTTTCGTCCTTTAGAATGGATTCCAAGTAGTGGGAGGTTAGATTGAATCAGAGTGGAAAGAGGAGGCCGGGTGGTGGAAGAAATGGTCAGAGTGATGTGTGTGTGTATGTGTGTATATGTGTGCGCGCGCGCGCGTGTGCGCACCTACCCCAAAGAAACCCAGAGCTCAGTAGAACAAATATGCACTGATTTAAAAACTGTAAGTGTCACCGGGTGTGGTGGCGCATGCCTGTAATCCCAGCACTTGGAAGGCTGAGGCAGGAGGATCGCTGTGTGTTTGAGACCAGCCTGGGCTACAAAGTGAGCTCAAGGCCAGCCTGAACTGCACAGGGAGACCCTGTCTCAAAGACAAAATTCGGGCAGCAAGGCTGAGAAACCTGGTCTTAGACACTCTCACTTCTTTCAGGAGGCTTCCTGCTGCCCGTACAGGTCCCTCTGTGCGAGCGCACTGTGTGGCCGCCCTAGTGCGCAGGCGCTGCCTGGGGTGTCACATGGTTCATGTTCCTAAGAATCACCTGGGGTCTTGTTAAACACATACCGCACAGGCTGCCCTCAGAGGTCCTAATGCAGGGAGTCTGAAGGGGCTCAGCGATCCGCATGGAAAAGAACATGCCCTAGTAATACTGCTGTGGGGGCAGCACCCCAGAATCACTGTGGCTTTAGGTCAAGTACTTCCTGTAATAGCCATAAATGTGACCGCCCTAATTCTAGGAGGCAGCCTTGGTTGAACTGGTACCTGAAACCATAAGCTGCACATGTCAGCATCACCTAAAAGGACTGGCAATTGTTGATAACACAATTTGGGACTTTGTGGGTATAAGCCCTGAGCTGACAGCAATGGTCAGATAAGGAAGGAAGAAGGTTAGAGAATATTTACAAACTGTTATCATGACATCAAAGTGTAATCCAGCTGGGTATGGTGGCACACACCTATTATCCCAGCACTCAGGGAGGCTGAGGCAGGAGGATCGTTGCGAGTTCAAGACCAGCCTGGGCTACAAAGTGAGCTCAAGGCCAGCCCGAACTGCAAAGATACCCTGTCTCAAAAAGACAAATAAATAAATAGATAAATAAACAAACACCACATGACTTGGCAGTCCCACTCCTACGTATCTAGCCAAGAGAAGCAAAACATGTCCACAGTCCAATGCACACACGCTCATGCTGGCGCTATGCATCAGAGGCAAAGCGGGGAACCATCGTAAAGCTTAAAACCTTGGGCAAGCTGGGAGCCACCAGGCACATCCACATTTGCACAGTGGGAAAGTACACGCTTCCTACATGTGCCAGAACACAGGGGCATCCTGAACACACTGCAAAGTGCAAAGAGCCAGGCCCCAAATACTACACCTTGTGTGATGCCACTTAGATTTTTATTTATTTATTTTGTTCCTTTGGTTTTTTTGAGACAGGGTCTCATTATGCAGTTGAGGCTGGCCTTGAACTCATTGTGTAGTCCAGGTTGACCTTGAATTTGTGGGGTCCTCCTGTCTCAGCCTCTTGAATCCTGGGATTACAGGTGTGCATCACCACGCCCAGCTCCATTTAGATTTTTAATGTTGGTGTATAGCTCCTCTGCTATAGATGGTAGCATAAATTCTTTTTTGG